TTTCCATCCTGCTACTTTTCTAAATTCTTTATCAGCTCTAGGAGTCTTCTGGTGGGATTTTTGGGATCCTCTAGATATAGGATCATGACATCAGCAAACAGTGATAGCTTGACTTCTTATTTTTCTATTTGTATTCCTTTGATTTCCTTCTCTTGCCTGATTGCTCTAGCTTGAGTTTCAAGAACTATATTGAGAAAAAGTTGTGAGAGTGGACAGCCTTGACTTGTTCCTGATTTTAGAAGAAAAGCTTTCAGTTTTTCTCCATTCAGTAATGATGTTGGCTTTAGGTTTGTAGAATATAGCCTTTATAATGTTGATATAAGTTCTTTCTACCCCCATTTTCTCCAGTGTTTTTCTAAAAATATATATTTTAGTTGTAGATGAACACTATACCTTTATTTTATTATATTCATATGTGGTGCTGAGGATCAAACCCAGGGCCTCCCATGTGCTAGGTAAGTGCTCTACCAATGAGCCACAACCCCAGCCCCTCTTCATTATTCTTAACATGAATGGTTGCTGTATCTTATCAAAGGCGTTTTTTGCTCTTATTGAGATGATCATACAGTTCTTGTTCTTAATTCTATGTAAGTGGTGAATTACATTTATTGATTTGCATGTGTTGATCAAATCTTGCATCCCTGGGATAAAGCCCACTTGGTCATGGTATATTATTATATATATATTTTGAGTGCAGCTTGCTAATATTTTATTAAGAATTTTTACATCCATCAGGGTATTGATCATAGTTTTCTTTCCTAGATATGTCTTTGCCTGATTTTGGGATCAGGGTTTTACTGCCTTTATAAAATGTATTTGGGAGTGTTTGCTCCCTTTCAATTTCACGGAATAATTTGAGAAAGACTAGGGTTAGTTTTTCTTTAAAAGCCTGGTAGAACTCAAATGAGAATCCATCTGGTCCTAAACTTTTCTTCACTGACAGGCCTTTAATTGCTGTTTCAATTTCATTACTTGATATTGGTCTATTTAGGTTTTCTGACTCTTCCTGGTTCAATTTGGGCAGGTCATATGAGTTTAGAAATTTATCAGTGTCTTCTAGATTTTCCAGTTTATTAGAATACAAATTTTCAAAAAATTTTTCTAATGATCTTCTGGATTTCAGAAGCATCTGTGGTGATATCTCTTTTTTCATCTCTAATTCTGCTGATTTGGGTCTTCTCTCTATCTTTTGGTTAGTCTGGCTAAGGGTTTATAAATCTTTTTTTTTTTTTTTTTTTTTTTAAGAACCAACTCTTTGTTGCACTGACCCTGTGTATTGTCTATTTATTCTTAATTTCATTAATTTTGGCTGTGGTCTAATTATTTCCTATCTTCTACTGATTTGGAGTTAGTTTATTCTTTTTCTAAGGCCTTGAGGAGGAGCATAAGATTATTTATTTGGAATCTCTCCATTTTCTTAATGCCTGCATTTCTTAGTGCCTGCACTCGTTGCTATAACTTTTCCTCTTAGTACTGCTTTCAATAGTGTTCCAAAGACTTTGATATGTTAGATCTTTGTTTTCATTTGTTTCTAAGAATTTCTTGATTTCTTCTCTCATTTCTTCTTTGACCCAATCTTCATTTAAAAGAATATTATTTAATCTCCATGTGTTTATGTGGTTTCTATTTTATTTCTTGCTGTTGATTTCTAGTTTCATCATTATGGTCTGATAGGATGCGTGGGATTATATTGATTTTTTTTTTTTGTATTTGCTAAGACTTACATTATGACCTAGAATATATTCTATTTTGGAAAAGTTTCCATGAACTGCTGAGAAGAAGGTAAATCAGTTGTTTGGGGGTAAAATATTCTGTATATGTCTATAAGGTCCATTTTATTTATAGTATTATTTAGGTTGAATACATCTTTATTGAGTTTCTGCTCTGATGACCTGTCTAGTAGTAATAAGGGTGTGTTGAAGTCACCCAGTATTGTTATATTGGGATCTATCTGCGATTTAAGGAATATTTTCTTAATTAGGTACCTTGACATTTTTTATATAAATGTGTGTGTATGTATGTGTGTGTATATATATATACACACACATTTATATATATGTCTCTTCTTGTTGGGACTGTTTCCTTCGCCAGTATATAAGGGCCTACTTTGTCTCTTTTGATTAATTTTTGCCTGAAATCAACTTTGTCAGATATGAGAATAGCTACTCCAGATTGTTTACAGACTCCATTTGAGTGGAAATTTCTTAACTTTTTACCTTCAGTCTGTGTCTTTGCCTATGAGTCTCTAGCAGAGAGGATATAGTTGGATCTTATTTTTTGATTCATTCCACTAATCTATGTCTTTTAATTGGGGAGTTGAGATTAATATTCAATATTATTATGGATGTGTTTGTGGTTTACAGTCATTTTAATTTTTGTTTAGGTTTAATTGTTTTCATTCTCATTTAGATGATTAGTTTTCTATTGATCTTTATCTACTTGGGAGTTTTGGGATTTGTTTTTGGGTTCCTCTGTATACAGTTTGAGTATTCTTTGTAGTGTTGGCTTATTTGTCATTTAAGGGTCCTCAATTTTTAAGAGGGTAAAGGCATCCTGAGACTACCAAGTTAGAGAACTGCTAGTCTAGAAGATGCCTAGGATTCCTTTTGACACCAAGATTTCAAGAACCCTGTAATCTATGAGAATTTAATTATCAATAACTACTAAATAATATTTACATAGTTACTGAAAGTATAAAATATGTATTTACATAAAACAAACATCCAATATCTATATTGGTTAATGTTAGATTAATGTCCCATGTGTAAAATAAATTTGGGAGWCTGTATGTTCATGTTCCCAATTTAGTTGACAGAAAAAGCCTTCAATTAAAAATCTTTTTTATTGAAACAGAGTCTCCCTTTGTTGCCCAGGCTAGTCTTAAACTCCTGGCCTCAAATCCTACCACTTAGTCTCTCAAGTGGCTGGGACTTGAGGCATGTGACATTAAAACATCCTTAATAATAATTTCAAAATTTAAAAATTACCATATTGTTGTTAATCCACCTACTGAATGGTCAATAGTACAAACTTCCTCATATACTCTTATTTAAAAAAATATTTTCAGTTATAGATGGACATGAAACCTTTATTTTATTTATTTTTATGTGGTGCTGAGGATTAAACCCATTGCCTCACACGTGCCAGGCAAGCGCTCACCATTGAGCTTCAACACCAGACCCCTTCATATGCTCTTTTTTTTGGGGGGAAGGTACCAAGGATTGAACTCAGGGGCACTCGGCCACTGAGTCACATCCTCAACCCTATTTTGTATTTTATTTAGAGACAGGGTCTCACTGAGTTGCTTAGCAACCTCGCAGTTGCTGAGGCTGACTTTGAACTCACGATCTTCCTGTCTCAGCCTTCTGAGCTGCTGGGATTACAGGCGTATGCCACCATGCCTGGCTCCCTTCATATACTCTTGCTTTTTTTTGTTTTTGGCTCTTTTTGTTACCAGGAATTAAACCCAAGGACACTTGGGTTACTGAGCCACATCCCCAGACCTTTTTGATTTTGAAACAGAGTTTTTACTAAGTTGCTTGGGGCCTCACTAAGTTGCTGAGGCTAGCCTCGAATTTGCAATCTTCTTGTCTCAGCCTCCCATGCCACTGGGATTACAGACATGTGCCAGTCTTCTTCCTAGTTATGATTTGATTACTGATTACACTGTCATCTTAACTTCTACCATAAATAAAAATTACATATTTCCTGTTTGTCCTATCATATGCTTAAGTGAAATCTTCCTTTTTTTTTTTTTAATATATACAGATGGAAATACTTAGGCTATGTCATTCTGTTTTATTAGCTCAACTATAACAGGTATTTACTATTTAAAAATAGTATATTTTTTTGCCAGGTACCATTGTACACACCTGTAATCCCAGCAACTCAGGAGGTGTAAGCAGGAGAACTGCAACTTCAAAGCCAGCCTCTGCAAGTCACCAAGACCCTAAGCAACTTAGCAAGACCCTGTCTCAAAATAAAAAATAAAAAGAGCTAGAGATGTGGCTCAGTGGTTGAGCACCCCTGGGTTCAATTCTTGGTACCAAATAAAAGAAAATAAAATACTATTTTTCCTATATAATATAAATGCATTTTATCATATTTCTTTAAAACTCATAAAAATTCTATTAAAAATGGAAGACTCTAGTTTGTATCTTCCCTTTTACCAAACCAATTCTTTGAATCCTAACTAACCCTTGCAAAAATTCTCTATTTTTTGTTTGCTTCATAAGGACCATTTCCCTACCTTTATACAAAGATAGACACAGAAGTTCAGGATAGAGACATTGTATATATATACATTATACAGGAAAAGAATCACCTGTGCATCTTTTCTATGAGCATGTATTAAGAGTTCCATGGAGCTCACAGACTAATATCAGTAGAGTGTCTTCAACTATAGCAAGTGACCAAAAAGCAAATATGGAAGGCAAAGTAGAATAGTTCATAAACTGAGGCTGTGTATGCTATTAGATGATAGAAATTTTTTTAAAAAGGGGGGGGAGGGGTTGACCTGACTAGTTGAGCAGAAGTTCCCTCTGGAGTTCCAAGTTATTACAACACTCTCCATAGTTTCAGTCACTTGCCTTAGGTGAAGACAGAATTTCATGGGTTTCTCTGTTGGTTCAGCTGCTCTTGGTTTGACCATGGCTACTTCCATGTTCTTTTCACAGGGCAACTTGGTGTCATTTGGGTGTAGGCAGATGATCTTGAGAAGRTGAGCCACACCAAACAAATGAAGGTTATCTATATTTGTGATGGTTTTATTTATCAAGTAATGGGTTTGACTTCATATATCCTCTCTATTTTCATCATTTCCTCTTTGCCAACAAAATTTTATAAGAGCTTTATTATATATGGGTCAAATTATATTATGATAGTATGTACCTGTATATAAATGTAATAACAAATCCTATCATTATGTACAATACAACTAAAATACACCAATTAAAAAAAAAAAGAGCATTGATATAATTTGAAAAACTCAATTACTGTACCTCTTCTATTTTCTTAGGAGAAGTTTCACTTTTATTACTTTTGAATTCTTCATTTATCTTTATTCTGGCTGCTAGAGAGAAAAAATATATTCAGTTATTTGCTTTAGAATTTAGAATTCCTGCCTCAACAATTTACATGTCATTCATTATATTATTCATTTCTTTTTCTATAGTATAAAAAAAGAGTTTGTTCCCATGTAAAACAAAGCATGAGAAATATATTAAATAAATCTCTTGGAGAGGTTTTGACAGGTAAATTTGTTAAAAATAAATAAATAAATAAATAAATAAATAAATAGGGGCTGTGGGTATAGCTGTGGGTAGAGCACTTGCCTCTAATGCTCAAGGCCCTGGATTCAATCCCCAGCACCACAAAAAATAAATAAATAAACAAATAAATAAACTTTTAGCACTCTAATACTTTCCCTGCTTTTCACTCTATAGTTATTGGATTCTAAGAAATCCAAATGATTGCTGGTTTGTGTTTTTCTGTTCTGTTTTGATTGAATCCAGGGTGTTCTACCACTTAGTTATATGCCCAGCCTTTTTATTTTTTATTTTGATATTTTGAGACATAGTCTCCCAAAGTTGCTGAGACTGGCCTTGAATTTGTAATTCTCTTGCTTCAACTTTTAAGTAGCTGGGATTATGGGTGTTCCCCACGATGCCCAGCCCAGCTTCATGCTTTTTTTCTATAAACCTAAGGACTTTGATTAAAAATCTTTTGTTTTTCCAAGAAAGCAAAAGTCAACACATACAAGTGTGTTAAACTATATATGTACATACACTGACAATTAAATTGCCGAGGCTGTCCTCGAACTTGCAATTCTCTTGCCTCAGCTCCAGGGTTGCTAAGATTATCACTTAAAAACTTTTAAAGCAGCTGGGCACAGTGGCTCATGCCATCATCCCAACAACTTGGGAATTTGTGAGGCAGGATTACAAGTTTGAGGCCAGTCTCAGCATCTTAGCAAGACCTCTGACAACATAGAAAGGCCTTGTCTCAAAATTTAAAATAAAAAGGATTCGTGATGCAGCTCAGTGGTAAAGCACCCAAGTTCAAGCTCTAGTACCCCCAACACCAAAATTAAAGCAATAAAAATATACCACGTTAACAGGGACTAGCCATAAAACCTTCCTCTGTGTTTGATACATCTTTATATGTAAGGTGGTTAAGAGTCTGGGCTATGGAGTCAAGATTACTTAGGCTATATTCCAGTTCTACCTCTTATCATGTATAATGTGGGATAAATCTTTTCACATTTTGTTAGTTTTTGCCTTGCAAAAGTAGGAGTTATAATAGTTACTACTCTATAGAGCTGATATGAGAATTAAATTAGAAATTTGTTTAAAGTACAGATGAAGCTGGGTACCGTGGCCTTGTCTATAATCCCAGCAGCTCAGGAGGCAAGAGGATCTTGAGTTCAAAGCCAGACTCAGCAACTTATTGAGGCCCTAAGTAATTCAGTGAGACCCTGTCTGTAAGGAAGTACAAAAAGGGGCTAGGGATATGGCTCAGTGGTTAAGTGTCCCTGGGCTCAATCCCAGTACCAAGTAATAATGATAAAGTACATATGACGTATATACCTTAATGTTTAAAAAATTATTTCTGGTTAATTAGAAAATTTTTAACTCCTAAGGAAGTTGGGAGTGAAGTTGACTATGACTATTACTGAACTTAAAGCTTATAGCTATAACTTCCAGATAAGATAGAAACTGCTTAAAACAGGGAGATGCTGAACTTGGAATCATCTGAGTTGGTTTTCTTTCTCAACTACTATGACTTCTTGACTAAAACTAGTATTTACAATATGATGGTACCTGGTCCTAAAACGTGAAAATATGATGAGAGAGAAACAGGTTTAATGATCTGAAAATAAGGCAAGTTATGGAGAACACTGAAATTCTGACCTACCATTTCCTGATTCTTTAYTGAAAACCTGATTTAATTTTTTTTCTTTAAGTAGATATTCCTCAAAGAAATATGACAGAAGTAGGACATGGTGCCATATGCCTATAATCTCAGTGACTCAGTAGGCTGAGGGAGAGGGATCACAAGTTCAAAGCTAGCCTCAGCAACTTAGCGAGGCTCTAAGCAACTTAGTGAGACCCTGTCTCAAAATAAAAAATAAGCTAGGCGCAGTGGCGCATGCCTGTGATCCCAGTGGCTTGGGAGGCTGAGACAGGAGTATTGCAAGTTCAAAACCAGCCTCAGCAAAAAGCGAGGTACTAGCAACTCAGTAAGACCCTGTCTCTAAATAAAATACAAAATAAGGCTGGGGATGTGGTCCAGTGGTTGAGTACCCCTGAGTTCAAACCCTGATACTAAAATAAATAAATAAAATTAAAAATAAAAGGGTTGGGGATGTGGCTCAATAGTTAAATGCCCCTGGATTCGATCCTTAGTACCAAAAAAAGTAATGTAAATAAATCTTTATAAACTATATATGTGTAAAATCAAAGATTTGGTTAAGGACCGGGGTTGTGGCTCAGTAGTAGAGCGCTTACCTAGCATGCATGAAGCACCAGGTTTGATCCCTGGCACCACATTAAAAAATAAATAAATAAAATAAAGGTATTATGTTCATCTACAACTAAAAAAAATTAAGAAAGAAAGAAAGAAAGAAAGAAAGAAAGAAAAACTGCCCAGAATGTAGAATAAAAATCCAGAGAGAAATTAAGAGGAGAAAATTAAGAGAGTAATCCAGAACAGTTATATTAACAAGAACACCAACAAGAGAGAAAAAGAAGTAAAAAATCAAAAGGGAAATAATCTCAGAGGAGAGATAGTAAAGGTCATTCCGTAGACAGGTCTTAACCAAACAGGCAGGATTTCCAGAACAGAATAACAGCCATCTAAAAAATGAACTTGCTCCAGAGGGGTAAAAAATATATTTACCTTCTAATGCTCTGGGATCATTTTTAAAAACTTGTCGTCTTGTTCTGTGCAATGTTCTAAAGAGCTGTAAAACCTGTTAAGAAAATAAGAACTCAGACCTCACAAGAAAAACTTTCAATTTTCCATAATTGTATTACAAGAATTAACAGTCTTCCTTTTCTATTTGTTTCTTAAACTATTTTTCAAAATAACTCATGAAAAATCATGGTTTGCCATAATAACATTCCCTTTGCATTCAGATATATAGAAAGATATATAGATTGGAGATGCAGTTTAGTGGTAGAGTGTATTTTTAGCATGCATAGGCCCTAAGCTCAATCCTCAGTACCAAAAGTTTTAGCTTTATTTACAAAAAAGTTTTAGCTTTATTTACCAAGAGAAAGTTCTCTGAATCAAAGAAAGAAAGAAAGGTTAAAAAGATAATAATCCTGTCAAAAATCAGTCTGCTTGCTGATCCATAATTGCAGGGGTAGGCAATGGGGAAAATGAAGGAACTGATTGGGCAAAGGGGAGGGAGGAAAGGTATGAAGGCAGGGTGGGGGTGGGGTGGTGGAATGATATGGTTATCATTACCCTAGATACATGTATGACTGCACATATGGTGGGACACTACTGTAAGAAATGAAAAGTTGTGCTGCAATTGTGTACACTGAATCAAAATGCATTCTACATACCTAATTAGAATAAATAAATTAATTAATTTAAATTTTAAAAAAATCAGTCTGCTAACCAACTTTACCAGTTTAGTATGTATTTGTTCACCTCTTAACATATTGAAGCTTTCATCTACTCGTTTGTTTGTTTGTTTTTGTGGTGCTGGGGATTGAACCCAGGGCCTTGTGCATGGGAGGTAAGTACTCTACCAATTGAGCTATATCCTCAGCCCCATTCATCTACTCTTAAAATCATACATACACTTACACAAAATCATGAACTTATTATATCTGAAAAGAGCCAGAAAAAAAATGTTTCAGATAATTTAGGCAAGTTTAACTGCAGTTTCTCAAAGGCAGAGTGGAATGCTGAGACTTATGAATATTCAAAGTTTGTGTAAAAAAAAGAAAGAAAAGAACCTGGCATTTTTGTTAAAGATTATCAAGATTTTTTTATTTTTTAAATTGTAGATGAACATAATAGCTTTCTTTCTTTCTTCTTCCTTTCTTACTTTCTCTCTCTCTCTCTTTCTTTCTTTCTTTCTTTCTTTCTATGTGGTGCTGAGGATCGAACCTAGTGCCTCACACATGCTAAGCAATCACTCTACACTGAGCTACAACCCCAGCCCTATCAAGCTGTTTTTTTTTTTTTTTTTGATAAGCTGAGGTCACCTCTCATTTCTCAAGTCCAAAATGGTACTCAATATTGCACTCCTTCCCTGTCCTCTCAATCTCGTTTATTTATTTATTTATTTATGTGGTGCTGAGGAGCAAACTCAGAGCCTCATCATTGAGCTATATCCCCAGCCCATGTTCTCAATTTTAGTTTTTGAGACCACTGAGCTTCAAGCCAAAAATGTTAAGGTCATTCTTTAAATCTACTCTACTCTTCATGTAGAACTTTAGGAATACCTCCCTAAACATTTTTATATCCCCCATCCTAAAACTAGTTCAGACCTTCATATCTCTTTCTTAGATGACTTACAAAGRTATATCACTCTACCATCATTGCCTCCTTTCCTCCAATCTGTTCTCCAGATAATCTAACACTGAACATACTGCATGTCTGACACCATATTAAGGGTTTTACATGCATTAGAAAACTGATAATATCAAAGGCAGATAACAATAACAACAACAAAAAAAGAAAAGAAAAAAAGAAAAAGAACCAGGAAAATTGGGAGCAGAAAACTCCAAAAATCTCTTGGATATCAACTGTATGAAAGCAAAAATTAGGTTGAGAAAATCTGTTCAGAACATAAAACAAAAATCCAGAGACAGAAATTGAGGAGAGAGGGCTGGGGTTATGGCTCAGTGGTAGAGCATTTGCCTCACATGTGTAAGGCACTGGATTCAATCTCAGCACCACATATAAATAAATGAATAAAATAAAGTCCATCAACAACTAAAAAAAAAAATTATAATAGGTATCTTTAAAAAAAAAAAAAAAGAAGGGGCTGGGATAGAGCTCAGTTGGTAGAGTGCTTATCTCTCATGCACAAGGCCCTGGGTTCAATCCCCAACAAAAAAAAAAAAAAAAGGAAAGAAAGAAAGAAATTGAGGAGAGAAAATAAGAAAATTAAGAGAGTAATCTAAAGACCTAACAATAATATCAGCAGGGGCACCAACAAGAAAGAAATGGAAGTAAAAAAGGAAAAGGGCGATAATCAAGAACATTTTTCACCAAGTAAGGACACAAGTCACTAGACAGAAGGGTTCCACCAAGTGTAAAACACAAAACTCACAGTTGCATATCAGTGAAATGCTAAGAATAAAATCTAAGGGAAAAAGCAGTTCACATTTAAAGTATTAGAAGGGCTAGGATTGTGGCTCAGCGGTAGAGCATTAACCTAGCACGGGCGGGACCTGGGTTCAATCCTCAGCACCACATAAAAATAAAGGCATAGGCTGGCTCAAGCGGTAGCACGCATGAGCGCAGGGCGCTGGGTTCCATCTCATCAGCACCACGTAAAAAAAATAAAATAAAGATGTTGTGTCCACCGAAAACTAAAAAATAAATATTAAAAAATTATCTCTCTCAAAAAATAAAATAAAATAAAGATGTTATGCCCACCGAAAACTTAAAAAAATAAATATTAAAAAATTCTCTCTCTAAAATAAAAAATTAAAAAAATTAAAGGCATTGTGTTGTATCCACCTACACCTAAAAAAAATATTAAAATAAATAAATAAGTATTAGAAAATAAGAATGGCATATAACATCTAAATAATATCACTATGAGAAGACAAGAAAATGTTTTCAAATCTTGGAAAAAGTTAATAATTACACTCAATAATAATAGGAATAATATCAAAGATGAAAACTGTTTCTTCAAAAATTATACATTTTGAAGACAACGTATGAGAGTGAGACTAGTCCTCATCTTCTATAGCTAAATGTCAATAAAAAATATCTCAAAAGAGAAAGAAACCAATGAATAGCAGTTTAAACATGTTATTTAGAAATATGAAGTAAATCCCAGATGATTAAAATGATTAAAAAGCACTGATCTCTGGGAAGCAAGAATTGGGAATAAGTAGAAGAAAATGGGTGTCTACTGGTTTTCAATTTTACTTCTTAAACTTTACATATTTATCATCTTTATAAAATTTTATTTTAAAAAAAGGAAAGGGAAAAGACACTATCAAAAAAGAAAAAAAGTTAGGTACTATGGCACACACTTGTAATCCCAGCAACCCAGGAGGCTGAGGCAGGAGATCCCAAGTTTTGGGTCAGCCTTAGAAACTTTTAGTTTTGAGACCCTGTCTCAAAAAAAAAAAAAAAAAAAAAAATGGTCTGGGGCTCTAGCTCAGTGGTAAAGCACAACTGGGTTTAGATTCTAGTACCAAACAAAACCAAACAAAAACCAGCCAGGTACAAGAAGAACTTGGGAGGTTGAGGCAGACTGCCAACTATGAGTTCAGTCTAAGCGACAGAGTGAGACCCTATCTCAAAGAAACAGAAAAAAGAAAAAACCCCACAGAATGGTAGAAAATATCTGTAAATCATATAACTGAAAAGGGCTTAATACCCAGAATATCAAAAGAACACTTACAACCCTAATTTTTAAAATATGCAAAGGATTTGAGTAGACATTTCTCCGAAAAAAAGATGCACAAACGTCCAATGAGCTATGAAAGATGTTCAACATTCTTTCCCTTCTGGAAAATCCAAATCTAAACCACAATAAGATTTTACCACATCCCAGTAGAATAGCAATAGTAAAACAAAGTCAATAACAAGTGTTAGCAAGGATATGGAAAATACAAAATTCTTATATATTGTTGGTGAAAATGATAAAAAAAATACAGCTGCTCTGGAAAAGTTTAGCAGTTGCTCAAAAAGTTAAAACACAATCATCTCACAATCCAATAATTTGATTACAATTCTATTACTAGATATATACCCAAGAAAAATGAAAACATGTACACTAATGTTCACAGCAGCATTATTCATAATAGTCAAAAAGTAGAAACAACCTAAATGTCTACAACCTCATGTATAGGTAAACAAAATGTGGAATATCCATACTACTATGCTTTGAGTTGTGCATACTCCCAAAAGAAGTTGAAGTCCTAATCCCAGACACCTATAAATGTGACTTTACTAGGAAATAAACCTTTTGCAAGATGTAATCAAGTTAAGATGAGGTCACTAGGGTGACCTACTCCAATGAGACTCCAATGTGGGGAAAATACCACACGAATTATAAACACACAGAGGAAAGAGAGCCTGGTGAAGACCAAGATAGAAACTGGAATGATACAACAGCAAGGCACAGAACCACCATTGGAAGCTAAGAAAAAGCAAGGAAAGACACCGCACAGTGTTTCAGAGGAAGTGTGGCCTTGCTGACATCTTGACCATGGATTTCTAGCCTCTGTTACTGTGAGACAATAAATTTCTGTTGTTCTAAGCCACACTGTTTATGGCAGGTTGAGTGTCCTTAGCCAAAATGTTTGGGACCAGAAATTTTCCAGATTTTGAGGTTTCTCAAAATTTTGGAATATTTGCATAAAATTATTGGATCAGCACCCCTAATCTGAAAATCTGAAATCCAAAATGCTCCAAAAATCTGAAACTTTTTAAGAATCACATTGATGCTCAACAAGTTTTATGGTTCAGAGCATTTCAGATTACCAATGTTGGTATTAGGGATGCTTAACCTGTACTTTATTAAGACAAATGTAGGAGACAAATGCAGATTTTGGTACTGGGAAATGGGATRCTGCTGTAACAAGTACCCAAAAATGTGCAAGTAGCTTTCTAATTGAATACTGTGTACAGGAAGGAAGAATTCTGAAGTGCTTGGTAGTAAAAGTTTTGATAGCCCTGAAGAGACTGTTGGCAAAAATATGGATTTTAAAGGCATCATAGTATAGCATATGCTTAACACTGTGAGGCCCTGGGTTCAATCTCAGCACACACACACTCACACAGATGCCATCATAGAAACCTGGAAATTTAATATTGCAAGAGTAGTAGACATGTTGCAAGGAATTTCAGAAAGTGCGGAGAGGTAAACTAGACCTGGCACAAGCTTTTAGTCCCAGCTATTCAGGAAACTCAGGCAGTACAATTTTGCTTCTATTGTTGTGACTTATATTAAAGTGTATTGAAAGTTCAATAGAACAAGAGGACCGCTTTGTGGCTCCCTATTATTGATCAACCATAAACACACTGTTTTTCCTCAAAGTATTGTAGCATAGCATTTCTTCCTTTCTGTGCCTGTTTTGGCCAGTGACAACTGCAAGTCCTAATGGGCCACAATGTTGATATTTAAAGTCAAGAATTGGGCACTGGTAAGAAATGGGCATGGGCTCGACGAGAAAACAATCTGAGACCAGGTCTTTAGAGAGTAATGCAGATGGGCCCAGCACATCCCAAACTTTGAGAACTTGGGTCTCACAATTTCTGCTATTTATCGCTAAATATTACCTTTGCAAATCATTCTGCCGGGGCTCAGTTTCCTTTGGTTCCTACACTTCTGTACACCTTCTGATCATCTGAATAAACATTCCACATCATTGCATGGTTTTAACTCCGGATTGTGTTTAACATCTCCTGTACTTCTCAGAGACCTGAAATTGGTCCCTCAATTACTCAGAACTCAAGTGGCGTGCTTTTATCACTCATAACACTCAGTGCCCGTTAGCACAAAGAACTAAGAACCGTAATGACTTCTCCCTCCCTTCTCCGCACCTGCATGAACCCACGACTGCCCTTCAGGGTTGGTCATCATCCTCCAGAAAGGGTCCCGAACCCCAGCCTCCAGAAACTCCAAACAACCTTCCCAAGGCCACGGCCACGAACTTATTACTCTTACCATCGGCACCGCACCCACTCCCTCCCCAGGCCCTGTCACCTTGGCCGCCTGACCCATGGCTCTCTTCGCGGTGGCGGCCACCGACTCAAGCGGTTGAGTCGCCCCGCCTCTCGGCAACCAATCAAGGCCTGGCGTTGACGTCCAACTCCCGGTTCCTAGCGCGCCACAACCAATCATCACGCAGCATCTCCGTAGCCCCGCCTTCCTCGGAAGAACCAGGGAGAGGCATTTGCCAATTTACAACTGTAAAACCGCGAGAAGTACTGGAGCCCAATTACTGGCCAGAGGAAAAAGGAAATCACCTGGAAGCCATCTTTATTAGGGGCAGAATCACTTCCRTCTTGGGTGGTTATCTTTTCTTTCGGGCTTTGGTTACGTTTTGAATATCTTGTGTTTTAGCATTTCCTGGTTGGGACAGTCTCTTTAGAAATGTGCATCAGTAACAATCAAGCGTTAACAACTACACTGGGCACTGATTGGAACACTGATTTTTAAAAACTGATATTCTTTCATTCTTTCCAAGAAGGTGAAGTGAGTTACTTGCTGAAGTTCACATGGCTATTAAATGGAGGCCTGGGATACAAATCTGCTAAGCCTGATTACAAAGACTATCCATACCCTTTATATCCTACCTACTTAATTTGCCCTACTTGTTTTGCTAGAGGAGGAAATGGGTAACTTATTAACAGAATCATAACAGAAGCACTTTTAAGTACAGTTTACTTTAGGAATTTGCAAGCAGTAAGAAAAATCTCAACCTTGTTCCTATGTCATAAGAGTTGTTCACCTTCTCTACCCCCACAAACTTTCAGATTAATTTCTAGGTACAATTGACTTTATAAAGAATGAAAGATTTGGAGTAATGGAACTCAAGGCCCCCTTTTCTCTCTATTGTCTGCATTTCAATATACTGCAAGTCATGAGAATAGTAGATAATAGTCTATTATTATTATTATTATTATTATTATACTGGGGATTGAACCCAACAGAGCATTACCACTGACTATATCCCCAGCCCTTTTTATATTTTATTTTAATTTTTTTTTTTAAAAGAGAGAGTGAGAGAGGAGAGAGAGAGAGAGAGAGAGAGAGAGAGAKAATTTTTAATATTTATTTTTTAGTTCTCGGCAGACACAACATCTTTGTTGGTATGTGGTGCTGAGGATCGAACCSGGGCCGCACGCATGCCAGACGAGCGCGCTACCGCCTGAGCCACATTCCCAGCCCTTATATTTTATTTTGAGACAGGGTCTGACCAAGTTGCTCCCGGCCTCACTGAATTGCTGAGGCTGGCCTTCAACTTATGAGCCTTCTGAGTCGTTGGGATTACATGTGTGTGCCACCGTGCCTGGCTTAAAAAAAACATATTACGGTGCATTAGATTTGTGGAAAAGCATTTGACATAATCAAGCAATTAAACCAATGTACTGGATATTGTATTGAATACAGGACACGATAAATTAGTTGATCTTAAGACATTGTATTGTAGTGCCTTCTGAATGGTGACAATGATTAAAAGATGCTTTTTTTAAAAAAAATTTCCCCTTTAAAATCATAGCCCAATTTATTGAAAATTTGTAATTTATTGTGGTAATCTCTGGCTGACTAGGGTCTTGTATTCAGCCAATCAAAATCCCACATCTGCTGATTTTGGCGAAGGTGGGGGGAGTACTGGGGATTTATCCCAGGGGTAATTTAACAATCACCTCAATTTAACAGCCTCAACCTTTTTTATTTTGAGACAGGGTCTCACTAAATGCTTGGGGCCTCACTAAATTGCTAAGGCTGGTTTTGAATTTATAATACCGTGTCTCATCCTCCCCAGCTGTTGGGATTACAGGCCTGCACCACCATGCTTGRTCATCTTCTGATATTTGAAAACTTAGTTCTTATAATGCCAAAATCAGTTCAATCTGTGGGTGCTTTTGTCTTACATATATSTTTGTGGTTCCTTTCACTGTTCCACAAATGAAATAACTCTTTTTGATTGTTAAGGGAAAGCATCCGTGTTTGTCTGCATCTGAAAGTGTACGGCCCAGAACCAAACAGGAAATTCCAACATCACATAAGTTCACAGAGCTTTGTTGTAGGGAGATAATGCCCTCCAAAAGATTATATGTCCAGGACCTTTGATTATATTACCTTATGTGATGAAAGGGGCTTTACAGATATGATTAAATTAAGAATTTAGGGATGGAATATTATCTTGGATGGTATGTTGTGCCTAACAAAAAACAAAGATTTTTAAAATTTTTAAATTTGACAGTAGAATGCATTTTGACACTTGTACACAAATAGAGCACAAATTCTTGATCCTTGGATAAAGATTATTGAAAGTAGAAAAAGGAAGAAGAGACAGGAAGAGCCCTGAAGATACTCCCGCTCTCACTTTGAAGATGGAGGAGGCCACACACCAAGAGTGCAGGTGGTCTCTCGAAGGTGGAAAAGGTAAGAGAGTTGATTCACTTGTAGAGTCTTCAAAGAATGCAGCCCTTTTGACAATTTCATTTTAGCTGAGTAGAATCCAGTTTTTTTTTTTTAAAGAGAGAGTGACAGAGGAGAGAGAGAGAGAGAATTTTTTTTTTTTAATATTTATTTTTTAGTTCCGGCGGACACAACATCTTTGTTGGTATGTGGTGCTGAGGATCGAACCCGAGCCGCACGCATGTCAGGCGAGCGCGCTACCGCTTGAGCCACATCCCCAGCCCTAGAATCCAGTTTGACTTATGACTTCCAGGCCACTTGTGATGGCTCTTTCCATCATAAAAGCCAACAGCAGAATATCTTCAAATCTCCACCCTGCTTCTGATATCACATCTCTCTCTCTCACTCCTGTGATGGAATCTCTTTCTTTCACTCACAAAGGGCCCTGTTATTACACTGGATCCCCGTGAATAATCCAGAAATCTCCCTACCTTGAGATCCTTAATCAATCTGCAAAATCCCTTTTCCATGTAAGGTAACATATTCATAGGCCCCAGGGATTAGGATATGGTGAGATTCCACCTACCTCATCCTCATTCGGTGAGACCAATTCATCAGGTTGCAGTAGGAGGAGATGAGATAGGAGAAGCTGCCAGGATTTGAATATTATTCTGTGATGGAATGCACTGGAATATTACCAGCAAAAGAGTGACATCATGATTTATATTTTGCAAAGATCACTTTGGGTACTGTGTGGCAAACTGATGACCATGAAAGCAGAGAGTCTTTCCAACTATAAGTCCCTCCAAGGACTCCATGCCAGGCATGATATTGGATTAGAGTAGTGGGGATAGAGGAAGTGAGAATTAGGTTCATGATATCTGTTGAAAATGCCACAGAAGATTTGAGAATAATTTCAACTTGAGCAACTGGGTGAATGGTACTATCATGGATATTGAATATAACAGGAGGAGGTTTTGGTTTGTTGTGGACAGAGTAAAACTATATTTCAAGGGCCTTGTAGACAGTAAGTGGAGGTGATGAGTAAGAAATAATTTACATCTTTTGGCTAGTATGGAATTAAAGGGAGAGGCAGGTCAGGAGACAAGTACCTAAGTGATTGCTTTATAGATGATACAGCTTTTAGATGACGTGGAAGTTGTCTGTATTATTTATTATCCAAAATAGACACATTTTATCTCTTGAGACAGGGCCTCACTATGTTGCCCTCGCTGGCTCCAAGCTCCTGGGCTCAAGTGATCCTAATGCCTCAGTCTCCTTAGTAGCTGGGGCTAAAATAGCACTTTCTTTTTTCTTTTTCTTTCTTTCTTTCTTTCTTTCTTTCT